TTCCTCGCTTCCACTTTGGTTATCATTTGGGGAAAACCTATTTTCTAATTCACTGGCGAAGAGTGTAAGCCCTGCCTCCTTGGAAGCCTCGATTAACTTCCGGACAGTGCTTTCTCTCTTTTCAGCAAATGCCGTAAGTAGATTATCGGTTGGATTGCGGACTCCTCTTCCTCGCCACTGTCTACATCGGTCTTTCAATCCAAGTTTCTCGCCAACCTTTAACCAGTAGGCATATCCTAAATTAAAATACGAAAGCCAAAAATGTTAAAAATTAACTAAGAATCTGATCTTGAATTAGTCAAATAATGATTTTTTTTTAATGTTACACAAAAACGAACTGTTTGATTTACTTCTAGAGTGTGACAATTGTTGAAAGTCAACGATGGCAGAGATATTTTGGTGTAATCGTTCAGGTAAATTCCGTTCCGTCTTACGAAATGAAGTATGCCAGATTTTCTGCCTACTTCTTGACATTCGAAGAGGGGCACGCTTGTATTCTCTTGCTCAAATTGCATGAGGAAAAACATGCGCATTGCGAAGGGAGGGAAGTACGTACTCTATAATGTTCGGTAACTGATGTTACCATTTAAGTGCATAAGTAGTTGCCCCCGCAGGGATTTCGCCCAGAAGGCGAAATCCCGAGGAGGCACTCTAGTAACTCGCGCGTATATTAAGGAAGGTACTTACAGTTGAAATATACAGTCATACAGTCAATATAGAAAAAATCTCGATTTGTTTGAACAGGGGCCGCGAGGAATCGGTAGGTAATGATGACGTTTCTATTGTTTGCGCCCGCAAGTACGAAATGGTTAGGATGACGTAAAGACAGAAAATCCCGAGGGGACCGCTTAGGTAGATTTTGTGACATGCATTGTGCAGTCGATACTTCGATACTCTTTTGCGTTACGTGTTATCAGTGCACTGTGGAGCAGTTGTTTTGAACGTTATGGACCAAAAGACACTCGTTAATTAAGCGCAGATGAAGTTAAAAGGGGCGTATAACTGTGTATATATAAACACTTGGAGAGTTTACCAGACACGAGTTCACAAATTTTTGAATTGAAACCTTGCCAGACACTCTTTCTCTCTCTTTGACCGGAATAAGACTAAGCCCCAAACAAGCAAGACGAGTGAATAACGGCTAGCTTATCACTAGCAGAAGATGGACGATTACAGAAATTCGCCGACAATCAAATTTTGTGCTGAATTATTCGCTGCTCACAGATGTCCTTCAACTATAAAGTTTAAAATAAGACCAGAATGCGCGAGCGTGAATTGATCAAACTTCCTATTAATTTCTAAGGCTTACTTTCCGGCAAATAAAATGAACTGAATGTAAAAAGTGAAAGAGAAATAGCGAAAAATTCAGCTTCTAATTAATCTTTTAGAATAAACTATTCTCGAAACTGAGAAAGTTTTGATCAAAGCTGTGTAAATCAAACTGAAACGGTGCATGGAACCTTGCGTTTCCTGTATTTATCTCACCTATTGTATGGAATATGTGTGAAAATCTTCATTATGAATCGGTAGGTATATTTCAAAGAGCTACACAACTGCAAGAATACTATTGACCGACAATAAACAGAGCGGGGGCAGCTGTAGTGTCAACTATTACAGAACTAGTTTTAACAAAAGCGTATAGTAGGTAAACTGGTCTAGTTTACCTTCGGGGTCTTCGTCGTTGAGCTGTTGTGAAATAAACCCCCTGTCTTCAACGGTCAGGTCTCTGATTAAGGTGTCTAAGCCACCTGGAGAAAAACAAAAGGAAGTTAACACAAAAAGTTTGTTCTTTTATGTTATGTTTGCAGAACGACTTGGATTCGAGCATGCACAAAACCATTTTGAGTTAACGATGTGCAAGCAGACATTTGTTATAAACAAAGTCGATTTTTGCTGTGCTTTTCATTTTACACAGTAGAAAAAATTACTCTTTCTGCTTCTGCAGGTTCTAGACTTTCTGAGCTATGCTTGAATCTGTTACCAAATTTCACTTACGCGGCACTAATGGAGTGCTCTGTTGAGCGACACTGTCGTTGTTCAGGTTATTTAATCGTTTTCTTCTTTTGTTCCACTTCACTAATCGTGGTACAGCAACGACACTTGTCACTAACGCTACTGGCACACCGACCACAACAACCCAAAACCATGCTTGTTTCCCGATCGGTACTTCTTGAGAAGCATCTTTCTGACTACCATTGGGTTCCGCCGGGGGTTCCATTGTCCCATAAGGAGCCGTGTCTTTTACTGGAGGGATAATTGTTGGAAAAGCCGTACCTGATGACAATAAGAAAGAACATTGGTTTGTCACACGAACCTAGTTACGTGGCCTTTATTGCTGGTTTTCAGTGTCACGCCATTCAAAATAGATCAAAGTAAAAATCAAAACCGTTCAATAGATAAAGTTCGGAATCTAGGAATGAAAGAAAGTAAATATACAAAGACCCTCGCCAAAATTCAGGCCAGAAGAATATTCCGTATACGAGATATCCGAAGAAATGTTTTACCCAAATCTATAGAGATTAGTATATATGGAGACGCCATGCTGGTGCCCACCTGGATGGGCACCAACATGCGGCGGACAGAAACCAATGAAAACATCTGTTATCGAGTTTTGGTACAAAAGCTCGAATTTATTCCTCGAGGAACTAATAAACATTAATGAAAATAATACTTTTTTAATACAGGAACTGTTTAGATAGCAAAATTCCCCGAAATACGTCATTTTTTTAACCTACATGACAGCTCTCTCGGCCGTCATTTAAATGGCACGTCACGCAGTAGCTTAGAAATTCAAGAGTACTCTATCACAAAACCAAGAACTCTTTTGAAGCGAAAATCTGTATGAAAATTAGTTTTCAGCTGCTCTAATACATCATGAAAGTGGAATCTCTGTAGGATCGATAGATTTGTAGTTTGAATTTTAGTGACGTCATGTGAAAACCAATTGCTAGAGCATTTAGACTTATAACTAGAATTAGGTTTGACTCCTATTTAGCCTCCCACGCAGATGTTCTTGGGGATTATGGAAGAGCGGTAAAGAAGGTCTGCGTCCGAGACTTACTCCCTGTTGGGAATAAAGATTAAAATTGCAAATTTACATCTCAGTTATTAACACTTTCACGAAGAAAAACAAATTATGGAGATCAAAACTAATCTTGAAGCCCTAATTGCGGTGAATTTTCTAGCTTTTGCTTTCAAATTTCTTCTAGTCGGAATAATTGCTTATTTGAGAAGCAATGATCAAACACAACCTCGTTCCCAGGGTTCTCAGAATCTGGGAACGAGGTTGTATTAAACACGGGGACACGATTAGATATTCAGAAACCCCGAAATCTGTCACCTACTTCTCGGGGTGTCCATCTACTGGACGAAACATTTCTTCTCGTCTTTGATATATTACTTTTCAGTGTATCAGGGTATTAGACATCCTCGGAGACCCAGGGGCAGTTGGTCAGTCTGGTCGGGAGAAAGGGCGCGACGAAAGTTTTCAAGTACGGGCAAAAGAGCCCCTGGGTACCGACTCTCACCGAACTATTTCCAAAAATTCAAGCGGATGCCGGCTCCTGATTGGGCACAAAAAAATGCTTTGTATTATTGAGCCCAATCGGCGAACAGTTTCTCCTGAGTTCTTTTCGTGAGTTCGTACACGACGGCTATTGCCCGGTTCGTTCACCAAGATTGTGCGAGCAATGGGAACTTTTATTTTCTACTTTCCAGACCAGAAACGAAGGAACTACCGATGAGTCGAAAAAAAGTTTGCTATCAGCAGGAGCAATTCAATTTGCGCCAAGAATATTCTATTTTTGACTCATCGCAATGTATCGCAAATAATAGCAAGTTAAAGATGCGGCGGCGACGAGAAAGTCAAATAAGCAATAGCTTGACAAGGCAAAACAACAACTTTGCACGTGCATTACAGTTTTTTGTACATTCCTCTGCCGTCAACTGCACGACTACACGTGAAAATGCCTAATTTCATGTTATGTGAAGGACGTAAACAAGCAATGACAAAATTCATTCTCTTCATAAACTTGGATATGTTGATAGAAATTCAGCTCCAGAAGAGTTCGCTTGCCTTGACAAATAGAAATTAGATAGGAACTGAAAAAATGTGAATTTCCTTTTCCATGTGATGTTTTCGTGGTAGTCAGCCGTCGTGGTATCTTTCAAAAATTCCCTAATATTTACGTAAGACGTGACCGATGCAAGCGTGAATACCTCTTGTAAGCTCAAGCTTGTATTTTTGGAAAAGCGTCTTTAGCTTTCGGGCAGACAGTATTTTGAAATCAGATGGGGATTTTATATCAAAATGAAAGTTCCTGACTGCCGGAATTTCTTTGGTGCATGAGCCAGACAAGCCGTGATTGAAACAATAGCCGTCGTGTACGAACTCACGAAAAGAACTCAGGAAAAACTGTTCGCCGATTAGGCACAATAATACAAAGCATTTTTTGTGCCCAATCAGGAGCCGGCATCCGCTTGAATTTTTGGAAATAGTTCGGTGAGAGTCGATACCCAGGGGCTCTTTCGCCCATACTTTATAACTTCGTCGCGCCCTTTCTTCCGACCCGACTGACTGCCACTGGTTCTCCGAGGATAGGTATCAGATGAAACACTCCTTCTTGTATTAGATTTATCACTTCTTCTTTGGGGAGCAAGGGATGGCGCAGTGGTGAGAGCGCTCGCCTTCCACCAATGTGGCCCGGGTTCAAATCCCGGCGTCGACAACATAATATGTGGGTTGAGTTTGTTGTTGGTTCTTTCCCTTGCTCCGAGAGGTTTTTCTCCGGGTACTTCGGTTTTCCCCTCACTTCAAAAACCAGCATTTCCAAATTCCGGCAAATTCGACCAGGAATCAGGTAGACGAAGAACACTTTGTGGATGTGCTACCTCCAAATCATTATTTATTTATTTATTTATTTATTTATTTATTTATCTATTATTTATTACTACTCGGTGTTTGGATTCCTTCTTTGTATTTGATATTTTACTTCTCGGTGCTTGGATTTCAGATTAAATACTCCTCGTGTTTGATTAATTACTTTTCAGTGTATGGATATTTGATGAAACACCATATGCCTCATATTTGATATATATGACTTTCAGCTAAAATGAAGCAAACGGTGAAAGGAAAAAATCAAAGAAAAAAAATTATCACAGAGGGAAACATTTTAAAGAAAAAATTAACATTTTTTTAAAGAAGAAGGACTGAGAGAGAAAAGAAGAAAAAGATCTAGAACTTCGTCTGCACTTGAGTTCCCCCAGAAGAAAAGAGTTGTCAAACATAATCTGATAGTTTCTGTTTTACTTACTTGGAACCTGCAGTTTATTTGTAGTCCATTGCTTAGTACAGAACCGATCGTGCTCATTGGTGCATTGCCTTGTCTCCACTTCATAAACACCACATGGCGGTGAACAGGGAACACATCCTCCTTTGAGTCCTACGCTCGAGTCGAAGTAATTTTCATCCGCGCAGCCACAGCAGACTGTCGGGGAAAACCTGGTGCAGTTTTTTATTACCTTAAAGTTCCCATCTAAACAATTAGACTCCTCGTTGATACACCTTTTGTGAAAAAAGGAAGAGTATGGTTTATTTACCGCAAACATTTTAAGCGCAAGTTTCATAAAAGGTACGTAAAAACGGGCCCCCAAAACGTGCAACTTGTTTTGCAAACATTGCTGCAAAACGAGTTGCATAGCGATGTTGCACGTTTTACCATCCACATAAAACCTGTCTTGCAAGAAATCAGGTTGTTAACAGGTTTGAGCATTTGTGGTAAAACGCGCAACATATCGCTATTCAACTCGTCAGTTTTGTAGCAATGTTGCAAAACAAGTTGCACGTTTTTTGTTGCTCGTTTTTCCATACCTTAAGCTGATCACGAAACTGAGGCCAGGGGATAAAGTGGTCACTAGAAACGAGATTTCATTAAAAGGCTACTGATATTACTGATATCTAAAAGTCGTACTCGCAAACAGACCTCTAAATACCCATCTTCTTAGCGCGCCGCGTTGTTTCTGCTACAGACGTGTGAAGTTAACCAAATGCCAGTGAACTTTTCCACTACCGTTGTAACTTATTTCTTAACTAAACCTCTTTTAAAAAGGCACAAGCACTCAACTAAAGCAAATAGGGCGATTATGGGCCTAGAGGGACGTGAAGTTACAATAACTTAAATTACCGTTTACACGGTTCCATGCCTGTGGTGTTGGAATAATCGTATCCTAGCCAACATTTTTCACACTCCGTGTCTTGTTTGTCCGTACATTCAGTTTTCATTCCATACCCCGGCCCACACAAGGAGCATGGTGTACATAACGTACCATTCCAAAACTGCTGCGGAGGACATTCACCAGTTGAAGCTACAGCCAACTGGAAGGTAATGTAGTAAGTTTTTTTTATTAGCATCTTAAGTCCAATTTACCTGCCAGAGGAAGATTTAAAAGGAACTCATTCTCCCTTTTTTTTTTGTTTTATTATTTTTGCTCGGTCCGTCATAAATCTCGATAATATGGTCTAAAGCTACCTTTACTCAGGGACGGACCATTAGAAAAGTTGGGGCGGGGGGGGGGGGGGGG